ATGATATGCACATACTTTGGCTTTGTTCTTATTAGATTAATATTGTAGGATTGTCAAAAGTTCAATCGAAGCCCCCCAAAAAAAGTTCTTGTTTTAGTCTTGCTTCTACTTCCATTATCGACTATGTTTACACAATTTTATTATGGCGAAACCTGCACATGAATAAATGTGTGCTACCAAACTGTGGTAGAAATATTTTCAACAGCCAGCAAATCCATTCAAGAGGAAAATTTCTAGAATTTCTATCAGCAATCTGATAGTTTTATTTCAAGAATTCTTTAAAAAATTTGTGTCCTCTTCGATATGATGTATAGCACGAGATCATAATCTTTTATCACATTCATTGTGTTTAATTCTTACATCTTATCTTCACAAAGATGCCGTTGAAAACAGCAGTTTTTGTACGTAATCCATGATAATCGCAGTCAAATATATTTTTATATCTTAGTTTTTTCCTAATTTCTTTCTATTGTCTGCTCAGAAGTACTAACAACTCTTTTAGATTGATGGCATTCGATACTATCTGAATGACAATCATCTCCCACCGGAGATGACATTCTACTTCAAGGATTCACTACTGTTTGATGCTGTGCCAATTTTTATCGTCGAAGAAGAGCAGGTGCAAAATTGGAGACCAGATTTTCCGGACAAAACCTATGCTTTGACGAAAATCAGTCATGAATGTGCTGTCGGGCAGAGAGCATGTGGGATGAAATGCTGTAACAGCGACATAGACAGAATCCAAAAGGTTTGGTTTGGATTTTAGATCTTGATATAGCGTGAGGGATCAAGAAATCACAAATGTATAAAAGGGCCGACGCTTATCTATTACAAGCAAGTGCACCAGTGTTCCCTTTTACTACAGCGCCAAAGTCATAAAGCCTTTGCAGCTTTTAGTGCATATTAGCTGATCGTAGGGGAAAGAGAACAACGGAGAAGTGATTCCATACCCAGTTCTACAGAGTCTTTTGGGAATTTAAGAATGTGATAAAACATACAAAATATTGGTGATCCATTCAATTTATATAATTCCTTTTCTTTACTTCCAGGAATTTCTTGAGATATCTCAAGATGGAATTTTGCCGAAAAACTCTACTTATTCCTACAATGATGTCG